CAGGCCACATCAGCCTAGTATACAAATCCCTTGAGATTAGGGTGGTCTTTTTTATCAAAGGAATAGAATCAGCTTTTAGGCTACATCAATTTCGACATTTTTGGAGTTCTTATCCTCCTCCCTTCCAAATGTTGGCTCTTACGCCACCTTAAATACATACCGCTCGGCCGTCTCACTTATCTCTTCGAACGAGGTGGGCTTTCACCCTCTTGTTACCAGATTCTTCAAAGGCGTTGTGGAAACCATAGGAGCCTTGATGTGAATTTCGTCTGAGACACCACACCAATGGTGGACCAGTTAGCTACCTTATATTCGCACGTTAGACTTGCTCTAGATATAGGGTCAAGAAATTAGTCTAATTTCTTGCGCTGAGGACAGTGTCGCCGACCGGATCGAAAGATACCGGCGGTAATGAGAACACGCGCGACAATTCTGTCGCTAGATGAAGTAGAGCGTCTTCGGACGCTCGTATGAGTCTGTCTGCTCGCGCGGAGTTGACCAAACACAAAGCAAGATCAAAGAATGCAAACCCTAGCGGTCATTCAGCTATCGAATGTTATTCGTGTTAAATACTCTTATCATAGTGATACTTGCTAGACTTAAGACGTCAAGGAGCGGGAGATCGCAACCTCTACTCTTTTTCAAACCTTTTCTTGACAGACCGGAGCTCTGCGGTTTCTCCTTAATTAATTTCTACCTTAGGGTAACACACGATCTTCGGCAGAAGTCGCGTGACTTGTTTCTTATTTCCTCTCGCTCTCCACACAATGCTGCTTTCCCCTCAGACATTGTGTTCAAGGGAAGCGGAGCTGAACGCAGCAGGAATAGATACAAGAGTCTTTTCGACACATTCTATCCACCACGCTTCTACATCTTTGCAGCAGCTAAGGGCATTAGTGTGGATAAGATCAGACGTACTGCAGGCTGGAGTACATCCTCGGACGTCTTTGTGCGTCTTTACAATCGTCTAATTGTCAATCACGCGACTTTCCAGTCTGCAATTCTGCAGAATTCATAATTTACATAATTACCTGGCAATATATGTTATTAGGAGGCATTCCAAAAATTTTTTTTCTAGAATTTATATTCTATGAATTGTTGGATTAGAATATTTATGCCATTGCCTTGCTATTTTAAGTCTATGCATATAAGCCAATCAGGAATTTTTATTCTGTTTTCCTTTAGTCTTGTTCAGTTCCTTGTGTGGACAACAAGATGTATGGAAAGAAGGTGTACATAAGCGAAGTATGTAAACACCACAGAAGAGACAGTTATAAAATTAACTATGTTCCACATATTTTATTTTAGTCTCATCACAAATCTGAGCGTTAAACATCTACAAGTATCCATCCGGACGAGACATTGCATAATTGAATAATTAAACGAACTTACCGTAAAGTTCAATTATAATTATGCTGTCTCGTCCGGATGGAGAGTCCCTCCCACCCACAACCCTGGATCAGATTTGTGTGCTTTAAACGAATGACAGCCATAAGTGCAGATAGGCGCGCCTCGGGGCAGGAGAGCGGCGCCTAATTTGAATTTTTCATAGGTTAAAAAACTTGTTGAGGATAGCGCAGCGCGGAGCACTACTACAAGTATCCATCCGGACGAGACAGCATAATTATAATTGAACTTCACGGTAAGTTCGTTTAATTATTCAATTATCTACTGTAATTAATGACAAAGAAAAGATTATTAATCACATTTATGAATAAATGCAAAATTATAATTTATAAATTAATTACCTATATCCCATCGATTTAATCTTAGAAGATTAATTTTGTTGAATAGATTTTTTTGTAATTGTTTTATATTGTCTGAGCTTGGGAATCTACCAGCGATACCAGAAATAACAATTTCGTCACTGGATTCGGTATTAATATATGATTGATAGGTTCTTTCGGTACCCATAATTCTGACTGTTTTATTGGATATACAAATGCAGAAAAATAAATGCAAATATACTTATCTTATTTTATTTGGTTTTACTTGTTGTAATGTTTTTTTATGATATTTGGATTCGAAAATGCGCCGTGTCACTGTAATATTGGATATTGGTTGAAGACTGAATGATAAAGCGCTGAAGCACAGTTTTTATAAGCAAGTTGACGTAATTAGTCATGTGAGGTTTTAAGGACTTTAAACTATGAATGTATTATCGTTTCCGCTGTACATTTAATAATTCAATTTCCTAGTTTTGTAACGTAAGTAAAATATGTCTAATTGAAATTTATTGGTATTATTATTAGTTATTTATTTAATATTATAGAGATTAATAAATATGTATTATTTAAGATTAAGTTATTTGGTAATTAAATACAAAATACTCTACAAACAACAATTAGGGAAGCAAGAAAATTGTTCAAAAAAAGGCAATTTTCAAAGCATTGTAATGCCGGAAAAAATTATCGTTTTTTAATTCTAAATAAAGCATTTTAAAGCTTGTAACTATTTTTAAATGTGTGTGATTTTGACGGATTTTAATTTTTTTTTTATTTTATGAATTTGATCGCATAATCGTGATACTCTTTGAATAATACTCATGTCGACGATATTTTCATTAAGAAAAAAATTTTCTATTTTTTGTTTAAAAAGTTAGACAGTAACTCTTATAGTGCTGAAAAAATAATAAAAATTGTTTTTAGAGATTTTTAAATTATTTATTGCGGTGGAGTAGATTCTCTCATCTTTTAGGTTTTTAACAATTTCGGCTCATTCAAGTATCATGGACACGTAAAAATAAATTTTTTAGCTAATAACGTCATTGTGTATTGTTGTGATAGAATTAAACTAAAAATGTAGTGTCATTGTAGTCAAATATTGATCTGGTGTCATTATTCACTAATGTTCCGAATGAACTAGCAATTTCTGGTATCAAAAACATTGGAATCTCATTTTAAAAAATACAACATTTTCTCAAGATGAATTTATATGCGCCATTAGATTCATATTAAGTTCCACATATTTTATACATATTTGACGTTAACATTTATAAACAAACTTTTTGGGAGTCCTACGGGCTGTCCACTCTCACCCATCATCGCTGACACCACTCTATGTGATATAAAGGAGAGAGTGATAAGCTCTGAAATAAGCTCACATTTTATCCATCGTTTTCTCTCAGATGTGTGGACAACATAATCCTATCTGCTCCGAGAAATTATATGGATCATATGTTACAGATTTTTAATTTATATCGTAAAAGAATACAATTGACAATAGAAATAGATGAGGAAGGCTATTTGAATTTCCTAAATGTGGAATTGATTGTCAAGGATGGGTGCATTATATTTGACTGTTATAAGAAACTTATTTTTTGGGAAATTTTTAAATTTTGTTTGTCAATATTCGATTACGCAAAAAGAAGCGCGATTATGAGTTCAATAAAGATAAAGCCATCTAACTATCTCACCCATCATCTAATTTCACCAAAAGAATTTAACAGATATAGTAAAAATTCGATTAAAAAGTGGATGCCGAATCACATTCATATTTAATTTATCAAAAAAAATGGACTTAATTATAAAAGACCCCGCACATTTTATATAAAAAAAGTGGGTTTGGTCAAACTGGCTGAACTTGAAATATGTTTTAGTTTAGGTGATGTTAATTAAAAGTTTTCTTTGGCAAAAAGTCCAAAAATCAAAAGTATAAAAGATATGATAATTTGAAGTGAGTCCTATTAGAGTTTAAGAAATGCCTGTTTTTAAATACACAAATTAAATTAATATATAAATGTTTGAAAAAATATACATATACATTTATATGATGTATGGCACTTCTACAGTTTTTAATGACTCCAAATTTTTATCTTCCTTTGAAACTGTAAGAACGGAAAAGAAAAGAAAATTTTAGATATGCAGTGACGAAAGACGAAAGACGGATGTGCGACATTAATGACCCTTAAAATATTAAATAATGACTTCTGTCATTACTTAATATTCACTCATTTACGTAAATTATAATATCCTCGGTAGCAAAGTTTAGAGTATAAATTATTAATCTAGAGCAAACTTTTATAATTAATACGCCGTGAACTATGCCAAAATAAATCACATATTTATATAAGCTTGCTATGATAGCACATATGTAATAAAAAGAACAAATACAGCGTATATTTTAATCATAAAAGTTACATAACTTTCAATATATTTGTTGTACGTTTTTAAAATCAGTTTTAAATAGATGTAAAAAATAAAAATACACAAATCGTTTAATTAAAGTTTAAAAATAAATTCTACACATAAAGTACTATTTAATATAATTTTTTTGAAATATTATTTCGAATTATGTTATGATACACGCAATTTAAAAGGAATTTGAGAGTACGATTTGTAGATCATTATAGATAACATAAATTTTAATGAGAGTGTGCTTTCTGTTGCCTCAACAGAATGAACTAACAAAAAAAACTCGTAATTACATAATTTTAATTTGAATTTTAGATTTCAATTTCAAGAATTTGAATTTTAGAGAAAATACGAGAAAAGATATTTTCACTTTTTGCAGCTAAAAAAATATAACGAGTTTTTATTGTATTTTTAAAAATGCACTATGTCAAATTTTGAATCTATTATCACTTTTGGAATTTTTTATACAACTGATACACATGTAACACGGTCATCAACACTATCGTAATTGCTAGTTATATTGTTGCGGTGTAGTGGATATTTCACATTTATCGAGTAAAAGTACACTAATGATTAACTAAAAATGCACCAGAAATAATACTATATACATATTAATAAACAATATTATT